TACAAACACCATTAGAACAAATCCCTCTATTCATTAAGAGAATGTAACTATATATCTATCCTAACCACTTTGAATACACAGATACAAAATGGACATTCTTTACTTCATTTTTAATCTTGTCATATTTCTGATGTTTTTTTGACATCCATTTATTTATGAATATTCTTACATTTGCCAATGCATATAATGTCTTTGGTTACATTATTATTACTAATTAAAATGCATCAGTACAAGAAAACATAGTATCAACACTTTAGTGTTTGGTGAGATTTATTTTGTGGTCTGGCATGTCCCATGGGTGGCTGGAAAGTGTATGTATTCCCCAGTCGAGTGTAAGAACAACATGGAATTAGGCTAACTAGGGTAGCTAGGTAGGGGATCATGTGACTTGTTCTGGCCAATAGAATTTAAGCATGTACTCTGGTTTCACTTTCTACCCAGGTAACTGGATACAAAGAACTGCAAGATGCTGGAGAGATCCCTGACAGAAGGGTCTGGATCTCAGACCTACCTTGGAGGAAAACCACTCCAAAGACCTCCATCAGGTGAGGAAGCAACACACATCTGGGATGAGGCCTCGAGGCTTACTGGTAGTGCACTTATCTCACATGCAGGAGGCTCTGGACTCAATTCCCAGCACCATAAAAGCCAAAACCAAAGTGATATTATCTGTTTACTAGGGCTAGCCAAATAGCTCAGTGGATATAAGTGCTTGCAAGCAGTTGCAGGGGCCAGGCGTTCACTCCCCGGCCCTGCCATGCCAGCCCTGCCCCTGGGGCATACTGAGACGGCAATTGAGACTGGGTATGGTGGTGCACACCTATAATCCCAGCTCTTGGGAGGCTGTACGTAGGAGGGTCACTATGAGTCTGGTCTAGTAGTGAGACCCTGAACACTCTGTAGACCCTTCCCTAAAAATACAGAAAAAAAAAATCTGTTTACTAAGTCATTTAACTTTGGAAAAGAATGTTTATTTCAGCAGCTAATGAACATTATCCTGACCAATACAGGCTTTGGGTCCTTGAGACAGTGGCTCAACCCAATTAACTGGTGGTGTGCTTTGGATGTCAGAGGTTGCCTGCAAGCTCATGTGTTGAAGGCTTGGTTGACATTGCCATGGAGAGGTGATGGAAAGGTTAGGAAGAGTCCTAGTACAAGGACGTGAGGTTACCGTGTGCATGTCCCTGAAACATATGGCTTTGGCTCTGCTCCCCTTCCCTGTCTCCTGGGTGTCCTGAGCTGAGCAGCTTGGTTCTACTACGTGTTCCCTGCCATGATGTTCTTCTTGCCTCATCACAGGTCCCAAACAGGTCTGAGCAGCCATGAACTGAAGCCTCTGAAATCACGAGTCTGAACAAATCTTTCCTCTTTTGGAGTGGATTAGTTAAATATTTTGTCACAGTGATGCCAAGCTGACCAACACAGCCTTACCAGGCTCAGCCCCTATACCTCTTACTTGCTCACAGTAATCCTTGCTGTCCTTGTCTAGGTGCCTTTTCCCCAGGTGCCTTCATGACCCACTCCCTCATTTCATACACTATGGGCCCTGGCCCAACAGGCCTCCCCAACTGTCCTATGGGTATGGGGGCAGCTCCTTTCCTAGCCTGACAACCGAGAGCTCCTTATCCAGCACACAGGTAATAGGAACAGCAAGGCCTTTGATGCAACATAGTTGACAGCATCGAGTAGCATTTTGGTATACTGGCTCCGTTTTTCACTAGAATGTATGTCCATGGGAAAAGGGGATTTGTTTTGTTTACCCCTGTATCTCTGGCAGCTAGGCTATGGTGTATTCTCAGTACTGAAGGCCTAAAGTCTCCGTGTCTCTTTAATAACCATTCCAAAGCCTTTTGTTTGAGCCTCAGACTTGATTGTTAGCTCATCCTAGCAACTCCTAACATTTTAAGTCTGACTCCCACTTACAATATCAACTTTACAGTATCAATCTTAAAATATATATATTATATGATTGATTTTTTTTTTTTTTTTGGCGGAACTGGGGGTTGAACTCAGATTCTTGCATTTGCCAGTCAAGCGTTTATCCTACGGAGTCATCTCCCTGGCTCTATATGATTGGTTTTTTAAAAACAATCCTCACAGGACTGGAGAGATAGCTTAGCAGACTAAACACCTGCTTAGGCAAGCGCAGGGACTGGGGTTTGATTCCCAGCACCACATGCTTTGCCAGCCCCACCCCCAGGGAACACATAGTGGGCCACTGAGATGGGCTGTAGTGGCGCATGCCTGTAATCCCAGTGCTGTGGAGGCTGAGAACGGGAGGATCACCACAACTTCAAGCTATGTAGTGAGACCCTCTACCAAATACATTAAAAAAATCCTCACATATTAGAGCAGATCATAACAAAATTAAGTGGTAACACAGAGCTCCCCAAATACCTCCATCACCCAGCCCCAGCTTCTCCTGCTATCAACATCCTTTACCCAAAGCCTGTGGTTTACATTCATGTTGCATCTTTTACCGGTTTGGGCAAATGTATAATGACATGTACACACTGCTGCAATATTACAGAATGTGAAAATTTTCAAAATCCTCTTTTTCCTATTACTCCTTATCCCTGAATCTCTAGCAACCACTGTCTCATAGATTTTTTTTTAAATTTAAATTATTTATTTATTTATGTGTGTGTGTGTGTGTGTGTGTGTGTGGCCAGCTCAGCCCACCAGGGGGCGAGGCTGGCTGGCATGTGGTGCTGGGGATTGAACCGCGGTCCCTCTGCTTTGCTAAGCTTGTTCTAAGTAGGTGCTTTAGACCACTGAGCCATCTCACCAGCCCTCTCCATAGATATTTGCCTTTTCTAGAGTGCCACCCAGTTGGGGTCCTACAACATGTAGCTTTTTCAGATTGGCTTCTTTTAGTTAGTAATAATGCACCTAACTTTCCTCCATCTTTTCATAGCTTGATAGCTCGTTTCTTTTTAGTGTTGAACAATATTCCATTGTGTGGATTTGCTATTGTTTATCCATTGACTGTGTAATTGATTATTTATATTCATTCTGATTTATTATGAGGGTACCTGTATATAATAATATTCATTTTCTTAGTTCTGCTCCCTCACATCCAGTTGCTTAATACAGGCCCTGCAGGCAGAATTCTGAATAAAGTTTAGTAAAAACCCTATTCATATTGCTAATAACCTACATCCTCAGCTATATCTCCATGTATTGGATACATTTTTCTTTTTTTAAGGTTTTTTTTTTTTTTTTTTGTATTTTGTACAGGGTCTCCCTGTGCAGCTTGGACTCATAATGATACTCAAGTTTTCAGCCTCCCCTGTGCCGGGATAACAGGCATGTACTACCATGCCACCCAGAATAGAACTCTGGTCCCTGCGCTTGCCAGAGCAGGCACTTAGTCTGTCGGGTGCCCTCCCGTCCAGCAGGAAAGCACTCAACACGATTTGTGCGGCGGAAAGGCTTTAATCGTTCTCCTGAGTGATGCGCCCCGAGAGAGCACAGTTCCTCTCTCCGTCCCTCTTCCTGTCTTCGACCCTCCGCGTCGCGGAGCATTTCTTTTATATCCTCACACTGTCCAATCGAGGGTTGATACATGTTACAGCGCCATTGGTTACAATCTCAGGGAAGGTATCTTACATCATTATAGGCGGGTGTATAGCGACTGCGGAAGCAGGAAATGAGCGCCATCTTGGCACACTCGGTGGGAGGGGTAATCTAGCGCAGGCTTCAAGGGCTGCAGCAGGCCTCACCTAATGGTCCCTAGGAGTTTTGGTTCTGAAGCCTCGATTCGCGGCATGGGCTCTCTACATTAGTCCACTGAGCTATCTTGCCTGCCCTGGGTACAGTTTTCTTATATTCACATGGTACACCATGTGAATAGTTAAAATTGACAGTTCTGATGGTGTGTGCCTTGCTTGAGCTAAAACTAACCAATGAAACACCTGACTGACCAACTGACCGACCACCCGGCCAACAACCAGGCAAACGACCAAAACAAACAGAAGCCCTGCATGGAGTGAGGATACCAACACACTGCCATCCTTACCTTTGTCTTGCTCTGTATCCATTCGTTATCCACTTCTATTTTCTTACGGGGATGGTGACGAGTAGGATGATCTTTTTTTTATTTCAACTACTTCCTTGACTTCCTTAGGCTCTTCTTTATCTTCTGGTTGAGTTGACAGATGAAATGTGTAAGTGGACTTCTGACCTGCCATTTAGTGATTGAATGATGACTGCATTCAGCCTGATGATTGGATCGAAGGTTGGCAAAGGGAAAGGAAATTGAGGTACCTCTCAAGGTGCTAGAGGGAGTGTGAGGCTTGGAGGATGAGCGGCTTCCCATGGGAGGAGGGCTGCCCGATGGGAGGAAGAGCAAGGTCTTGGATGTGAGAGAGCAGGGCTGGAATTCCAGCTCTCTGGTGTTTCTATCCATTCCCTCAGCACGAACTGTTAAGAGTGTGCCAGCCCAGTGCCAGGTGACGGAGGCTATGGTGAAGACCACCCAGTCCTGTTGGGGTCCTGAGGGTGTGACTCAACAAAGTGCCAACTACAAAGCAATGAGTGATGTGCTCACCATGGAAAGATGCAACTGCTAAATGAACAGAGGCTATACTGAGGACTTGGTAATAAAGGGAAGAAATATTAAGCCTATTTTAACTTAAAACATATATACATATTGGGGCCAGGGAGACAGCTCAGTGGAATAAGTGCTTGCTTGGGCAAGCTCAAGGTCTTGAGTTCAATCCCTGGTACCACCAAACAAACAAACACACAAAACCCCCATATATACATATTAATATGTCTCTAAAAATATAGGGTAAAACTCTTTCTTTTGAGGCCTGAGGGCTGGGGCCCTGTGATCATTTTTTTTTTTTACAACCACGTCCATAATTTATTACTTAATATCTTCAGCTGTGGCAGTTTGTTTTTTTTTAAATTTTTATTTATTTATTTATTTATTTATTTGAGAGAGAGAGAGAGAGAGAGAGAGAGAGAGAGAGAGAGAGAGAGAGAGTGGCCAGCTCAGCCCACCAGGGGGCAGGGCTGGCTGGCATGTGGTGCTGGGGGATTGAACCGCGTCCCTGATGCTTTTGCTAAGCTTGTTCTAAGTAGGTGCTTTAGACCACTGAGCCATCTCTCCAGCCCAGCTGTGGCAGTTTGTAATAGACAATGTGGAACTGGAGAATTTTTTTTTTTTTTTTTTTTAAATTTTAGGGAAGGGTCTACAGGGTGTTCAGGGTCTCACTATTAGATTGGACTCATAGTGATCTACCTGTTTACAGCCTCCCAAGATTTGGGATTATAGGCATGTGCCACTACGCCTAGTCTCAATTGCCATCTCAGTGTGCCCCAGGGGTGGGGCCAGCATGGCAGGCCCGGGATTCGAACTCCTGACCTCTGCTCCTGCTTACAACTGCTTTAATCCTCTGAGCTATTTGGCTGGTCCCTGGAATTGGAGAGTCTTTAAAAAAGATTTTGTACATATCTTCCAATCTTTTGGGTATGTGTGATCTATATCTAACTCAAAGTATTTTTTTAAAGAACTATTTCTTTATGAATTTTGAGCTTTCAAAAAAAATAAAAAAGAAAAGAAAGAGAAATAAAAAGAAACAGAAAAGAAGCATTCTCCAGTTTTTCATAGCAAAAAGCTTCCTTTTGTAACAATTGAATTTGGGAACTAGCCCAGTGAGGACAACCGAGGAGCGAGTACCGCTTTCCCAATGTTTTGGTAAGTGGCAGTGACTAGATGTGGAGAGGACCGTCTGTTTGTGGTGACAGCCAGGATGCTGGTGGTGGCACTGTGGAGCTCAGCTCACTTGGCGCTGGATTAGGGGAGGTCAGATAGGAGAGTCCTGGGAGGTCACCCACTGGGAACAACAGTCGGTCAGGCCGTCAGAGAGCTCAGGGGAGGGGCCTAGCGAGGCTCGAAGTTGAGTGGCTCTTGGTGCAAGGCCGTCCAGCGTGCGGGTGTCCTATCCCATGCGTGGCACGGCTGAAGGCTCCAGTGTGAATGGGTGAGTGGTGATGGGTGACTCGAGAGACAAGCAGGAGCAGATCGCTGCTGGTCCATTTGCTCTCTCATGAAATACTTA